AAAATTATTACTAGCAATATATTTTTGAAAAATAAAATATATTACGAGCAATACATTTTTTGAAGAAAAAGATATTACCAGCAATAAAAATCTTGCCAGCATTAAATAACTCATTGAGGTTGATATGCCGTAAAACAAAACAAGCCAAACCAAACCTAACATACCGCTGCACAAAGAAGAAAAAATATAAAAAACATCCAACACAACCTCGAAAATTCGTCGAATTGCTATGATGACAGGATTGTCGGGTTTAATAAGAAGGAGTGGTTAGCACAATGGTTTGGTAAGTTATTACTAGTAGGTTCTTTCCTTGCACCGTTAACTTTTTCTCGGGTTAAATTTGGCAAAATAATCCATGTCCTTGTGTCGGACAAGTCTATACTTTGTAAATATCTAATCCTTTAGTACCACAAGCAGTGTGTCTACTTACCTGCCGACATATATATATATATATATATATATATATATATATATAAGACAAATGTTGTCTTCTTCACCGAGCCAGACGCATTGAAGACAAGAGTTTGCTCACTAATCTGTCTGCATTACTTATCAATTTGTGCACTGATAAATAAAGGTAGATATTAAAGCTAGTAAAAACAAAATAAGAAAATAAACAAACCAACAAAAAAAGATGGCGATATGCCAACGGCGCGTTGCTACGGCTTATCGCCCTGATTTTTTTTTTTTTATCTTTCCTTTTATTTTTAGATGACACTTAACAGAAACAACAAGTAGACAGTAACTCGAGTAGAAGGGCGAGGAAAAGAAAGTATTGTATAGGAAGGAAGAGCAAGAGGATTGAAAGAGAAAGGAGAAGAGACGAGAGAGGAAGAATGAAAAGAAAAAAAAGGGAGAAAAATTGAGCTGGAGTGAAAGAGTATAAAAAGAGTGAACAAAGAGAGAAGAGGAGATATGAAAGGAAAAAAAGGAAAAATAGAGAGGAAATGATAACAGGGGAATGGGAAAAGAAAAAGCAAAAGGGAAGAAAAGAGGGGAAAAGAATGAAAGCAGGAGTGAGACGAAAGGAGGAATATTAGAGTTGAAAAAAGAAAAAGTTAGCGGTAAAAAGGAGAAAGAAAAGAGAATAGAAAAAAAGGTGTGGTATTAGGAGAGGTGGAAGAGAATAAGCGAAAATGTGAGAGGTAAGAAAAAGGAAGTATCAGAGAGAGAGAGAGAGAGAGAGAGAGAGAGATGAAAGACAAAAAGAAAAGAGAAGAAATAGAGAAAGGGGAGATAATGCAGTAAGAAGTGAGAAAGAAAAGAAAAGATAGAAAAGAAGAGGGAAGTGACGTAACCAAAAATGGCAGAAGGAATGACACAAAGATTGGAAAAGAGTGTTCCGTATCATTTTTAGAATTGATAATGGCAGGTTCGCATTATCCTTAATCTTCAACTTTACAATCTCTTCGTTTTTTGTTTTTTTTTCTACTTTTTCTCCTCTGCTTCACAATGAAGAGTCTTTTCTTTTTATCTTACCCTTTTATTTCTCACTTAATTTGAGTTAACGCAACTAACCATTTTTTTTTTTACTTTTCTCTCTCCTCCTTACCGATCCTAAAACTCGCCCCATCATCTAATCCAACCGCAGCGCACGCCTTGTGTTCAGGTGCCTATTAAAACAACAAAGTCAAGAGTTTACCTGTTGATAAGACTATAAAACAAATGTGCGATACGACTTCACAAGGAAATATTAAAGTAAAAAGGCGCCCTCACTAGAAGCAGATGCAATAATTTAGAAGCAGCTGCGAATGACTTTTCTTTTGGCATGCAAGAAAAAAAAATTAAATCATGAAAACAGAGAAGAAAAAATGCACTGATTTGGACTGTGGTCTGCTTAGAAAATAGAGCCATAAAAAGATACTGACGTGTGGTGTTATGCAGTGATTGTAGGCAAATAATATTTCTCCGGGTGACTATACTGAAACTAAAAAAAATACCACCATTTCAGAGTTTAAAAACACGGCTTTGTGGGTGATGAATCATTTTCCGCCCTATTGCTCGTTTTCTACAAACGAAAAGTCACAAACCTATCGCCACTCTTCTCGCTATATCCATGGTAAACATTCAGACGTCCTACATTCCTTGATTCTACCAGTTTAGACTTTTAGAGCTACGACCCTTCATGTCACGAACACGGGGTCAAATCATCCTTATTTCATTTGTATACCATTGATAAGAAATATATTTCACTTAGCTTCTTCCCAAAAACCGCTTTGTGGAACAAACACCCGAGATGATGATCACTACAATCTTCAAGTCAAGGGTAAACCGTAACATATCCTGAATATTTTCATAATATGCACTTTTTACTTCTTATTCTCACGCTTATACAATAATCTTATTCAGTAAGCCGTCATTTTGATTGGCTCTTGGGACGAGCATTGAATAAACGATAGTATTAAGAAAAAAAAAGTTGCTTCATTTGGGGTATGAAACGGATAAAAAATATTACAACTTTTCTCTGACAGACAAAACTTAGCCGAATTTTTCCTAAGAATAAAACCATAGTCAATTGTGCTTTGTGTTATATTAAAAAAAAATAAATAGGTATCTTCATTTTATGTAATCATTTCATGTAGTTATTCTGTCAATTTCTGTGATGAAGACTTTTCATTATACAACATATTATTCAAACTATTGTCTTCATCTTCGTTAGTAAAAACATTTTCAGCCGATAGACTTTTCGGCCTGTATCATGTTCCTGGATGTTCATTATTTTAATAACAATTCGACCTATACATTCTTCAAATATAGGCCACTATATATATATATATATATATATATATATATATATATATATATATATGTATAGAGAGAGAGAGAGAGAGAGAGAGAGAGAGAGAGAGAGAGAGACTGGGAGGAGAGAGGAGAGAGAAGAGAGCGAGGGACTGAGAGAAAGTGAGGGGTAGTTGACTTATAAATGAGCACTGCATACAGACTGTTTTACGCGCCAAACTTCTACATTGATTTCTATGTCCAGACACTCTATAACTATCCGATATTTATAACTCTTTCTTATATGCGATATATATATATATATATATATATATATATATATATATATATATATATATATATATATATATGTATGTGTGTGTGGATGTATATACAGTAGCTCTGTAAATTCAAAATATTTTTCACTGTTCGTTTACAACGTTTCAAATTCGAAATTATTTTTTACTGATTACTTAATGTTGTTATTAAATTAATTAAGGAAGACGCCGTAGTTTTTTCTTTTCTTTTCATTTTTATTATACCAAGTAATTTCAGACTCATCCGAGATCATCTTTAGGGTTGATCTGCTAAGACAAAAATTATATATATATATATATATATATATATATATATATATATATATATATATATATATATATATATATATATATTTGAGAGAGAGAGAGAGAGAGAGAGAGAGAGAGAGATTTGAAATAATATATATATATATTGATAATATTAGTGGTTAATACACACACACATATATATAAATATATCTAAAAAAAACACACACACACACACACACACACACACACACACACACACATATATATATATATATATATATATATATATATATATATATATATGCATGTGTGTGTGTAAATATATATATTACTAAAGAAGTAATGTTCTTATCTATTAATCCTCGAATATTCAGGTCGGTAGACCAAAACAATTATACTGTTTAATATGAATAAATATTCATTGTGATATATATATATATATATATATATATATATATATATATATGCATACACACACACATATATATATATATATATATATATATATATATATATATATATATATATATATATATATATATATATATATAATAAAGTTAATGGTCGGAGTTGGATTAGACCAGGTATCCATAGTATTAAAGTGTGATCAATACACGTATAAAAAAAAACAACATGTAGAACTTTTAAGTTTAAAAAATTAGGAGATCAGCCGATTCCGCTTCTTAGGTTTCAACACTTCGGTATCTTCATCGTAGCAACAGATCAAATAGAACGTTATTGCTGATGCAATATCATCCACTCTGTCGTCGGGTTATTTAGTTGTTAGTAAAATACCACACAGTGAGCATGTGTATTTTGTGCCCGTTTCAATCAGCGTGAATATGCATCATGTTTTGTCTGAAACGTAAAATATTCGTATGATTAAGAATGGTTTCCAAATGATCCCATGAGTTAATCCCCGGAAAAAAAAAGAGATTTTGGACAAACATCTCGTACTTTGTTTGGAATCTTTTGAAAGTGACCCACACTATGAAAGGCCTTCAACAAGTAATTAAATGAAATCACGTCATGTAGAATTTGACAGTCATAGAATAAATTAGATGCTGAAGAAGTAGAGAGAAAAAGAATATATCTAACGACTTTTAAATGGTTATCAGAGCCGAGAGTTGAAATGATTGATTGATTGTTCATGTTTTTATGGCTTATCAACCTTTTGCAAGTTATTTAATTCCAGAAAAAAATATTTTTAGATAGTAAGAATTTTTTTGGAGATAATAATGATTTACTGATAAAAGTCTACTATTTAACCCATAGCTGGGGGAAAGTTGGATTCACACCTTTGCAAAGGGTATTTCCGCATATGTGAATATAATGAGGAGTAAGGGATAGCGGCTCGGATTGAGGAATCGGAGAGCCGAGTTCGAATTCCAGCCGGATGAATTACATTCCTTTACGTGCTAATACCCTTGGGAGAGGTATGAATCCTCTTCTTCTCCCTCAACCACCTAAGGCTAGAGAACCAAGTCTGTGATGCTATTTACGCATAATTAGCAGGACAGACTGGGTTCTATAGCCTTAGAAATAAGGTAACTCTGAATTTCAGAACCGGCCTGGAGAGGGTTGGGCGCCGTCAGGCTATCTTCCCCAAGAAACATCACTACCACGTGGTGCCAGAAATGGGCAAGAATATAACGAACCCGACTGGAATTGGAACTCGGCTCTCTGAATTCTAATTACAGCAGCCATACATCCAAG